ATACTTAGAAATAAACCCCTAGGTCTCTTATCCTTAAGCAGATAATCCTTAGCAAATAAAACAACATAAAACAAGAGGTTCCTGTAGAGTACTACAGAAACTTAGGATGCTAGCACCTTCTCTAAGTTTAACCAACCCCCGAACCTATAACTCTCTAGCTTGCATTTGCATTGCATTGTGGGTATTTCGATCTTTTTCCCCTTCCTTTGGACAAATCAAAGTTCGGTTGCAAATGAATTAAGATTCAAGCTCATCAATAGCTTGGTATCCAAATTTCATCGCGACAGATCGAGCGGCTGATTTTATTTTGCAGGATAATTTGTAGCTCATGAGGCAACATTCAGGCTATCTCAGGCATTCTCACAGTTTTGATATTCGAACGCAAGTTTCAAAGGCTGGACAGGGCTTAGAACGGAAGAAAACGGACATTTGTGCACTTTTCCCTCCAAAAGGCGCCAAAATTCAAATTCTCAAGGTGTTAATCGATTAACACTATTGGTTAACCGATTAACCAATGCAAAATCAGGTCAAATTTGAATTTTTGAAGGTGTTAATCGATTAACCCAAATGGTTAACCGATTAACCAAGGCAAAGTTTGTCTCTGCACGTGAATTTTCATAGGGTGCCACTTTTGGGGTCCATTTTGATCACTTGTGAAGTTGATTTTACACCAGAGGAAGGATTTAGAACCACTTTGAATTTTGATTAGTTTTCAGATTAATTTAAATTCCCTCCAATTTCCCACTCCTAATCCCATTCCAATTTTCATAACCACACTCCAAACCACCATTCTTCTCCTAACCTATAGCATATTTAAATGATTTGCTCCAAACCTCACACAATTAATCCTCATAATTTCATTTTCATTTTCAGAATTCACTCCAATTCTCTCAATTTTCTCTCAACTTTTCCATCTCCTAAAGTCCATTAGAGCTCTCACCTTGAATTCTTTGATTCTCCATTGGAATCATTGAATTCTAGAGCTAAACCTTCATCCTTCATTCTTATCATCTCCAATTCTCCATTCAATTTTCGTGCTATTTTGGATCTGATCTTGGAAGATGGTTTGGAAGAGCTTATTTGGATTATTCTTGCTTAATTTTGGTGGATCTTCATTTCTACTACAACACTTGGATCTTGAAGGAATTCCGAATTTCTTGCTTGGATCTGCTTAATTGAAGTTGAATCAACATTTACCAAAGAAAATCTCCACTTTGTAGGTTGGAAATTCTAGATCCGATTCTGTCTTTGAGCTTATTTGCATAATCCTCATGTCGATCTTCATTTTTGATTGATTTTGATTTATGTGATTTGAGATCTTGATGTTTGAATGTGTTTACATACTGATTAGATCACTGTTTTCTGGTTTAAATTCGTGCATAATTGATTATATAATTATCTAGATTATTGGAGAAGTGATTAATTGCTGAAAGTGCTTTTGAGCTGATGTTTTCTGCCTCTGGTATAGTGTTAATCGGTTAACCAGTTGCAGTGCAAACTGGTTAATCGATTAACCAGTGCGAATTTTCAAATTTTCAAATATTTTTAACTAGTTAATCGGTTAACCATATGTGTTAACCGATTAACACTAAACCAGAATGTCATGTTTGCTGTTTTTGAGCTTGTTTTGGGTATCATTTCACTTTGAATCTTCATGGATCAATATGATGCATTTGAGTGATATGTTTTGGATATTGTGTTGTTGTTCTTGATTGTTTAATCATGATTTCTTCGACACGCGTGTTCGATTTCCACTTGGATGCATACTTTTGTAGTTGTTGTTCAAAGTGATGGGTGTTCATCTTTTGCTTTGCTTGAGTATGAAGAATGGAGTGGTTGAGATGTGCTTGTGGTGGCTGCTGCCCCACACTTTTTTTCCTCCCACTTTTCTTCGATGATTGATGGTCGATGGTCCTAGGAGTTCGCTTTTCCCATTTCATCTCATCCTCGCATCTTTTTGCTTGCTCTTCTTTTTTGTTTTGCATCCTTTGTTTGTTTTCAAGAGGTTGAGATGTGCTTGTGGTGGTTGCTGCCCCACACTTTTTTCCTCCCTCTTTTCTTTGTGTTGCATTTCATGTTTGCATCCCTTTCTTCCTTTTCATTGGTGATTGATGTATCTTGTGTTTATTTGGTTTTCTTTGCCATGATCCCTTAGGATTGGGAGTAGGAGAGACATTAAGTGTTCAATCCAAGCATGAAAATATTAGGATAGTCTTTTCCCTTTTCAATCTCAATCCTAGGAGCACATTGCATGATAACATTAGGGTTGAGCTAGTTTCCCCTTAGTTGTGTCTTCTCTCTTCTCATCTCAAAACTTCTTCAAAACATCTAATAAAGGATAACAAGTGTTGTACGCTACGAGCCTTAAACATTTGGGAAATGATGATTGAGAGGCCTCCTCTCATACCGTCTAGAGTGTTTAACGTATGTCCTTTGGACGATATGCGATGCATTCTCTCCTAAGTCAAAGTCTTTAGTGCAACATGAATTAAAAACACAATTCAATTCACTTCTTCTTCTTAAAAGACTCAAAAACAAACATCAAATTTTTTTACCCTTCGGGATTAATGGAAAATCATTTTCATAAAAAGAGTGTTGTTAACTCTTGGTTCTACCGCAAACAGGTAACACCTAAGTCTCCAATGGTTGAGCAACAATACACCTAACTGCTAGAACTAAAGTTTAACCCTACTCGGGTAAAATACTTGAACCAATTTGTGGTCGTGTCAGCCCGAACTACGTTTGCTCTGATTTTTCTTACTAGACGAGGATACGTAGGCACAAGACGATGATATCTTGGCGAGCAACCTCCCCCCCACCTTCACCCATAGTTTTCTGAACTACGTTGACTCTGACTTTCCCATTGCACGAGGGAATACATAGGCATAGAGCGACGATGCTCTATCGAGTCTCTTTTCTTTTCTTTTGTCCTGTGAGCCTGTAGCTTAGATAGATTAACATCCTTTAGATAAATAACAAGCGTGGATCTCATCGAGTACGACGGACGTGAGGGGTGCTCATAACTTCCCCTTGCGTAACCGACTCCCGAACCCGAACCTGAGATTTGGTTGCGATGACCTGTCTTCTCCCTTTTTGTAGGTTTTCTCTGGTCGTTTCCTTTCCCTCTCTTTGGGATAAATAACGAACGGTGACAACTCTTCTGTCCTTGCCGACCCCTATTCGCAGCGATGCAACAACATCCCCCTTCAAGCCCCCTCGCACGACCCTAGGTAATGACGTGTCAACCTTTTTTCGTTTCCATCGTACCATCCAACATGTCGAGAGTAATGCCCGACCCATGCACTGCCAAGAGCACGTCCACGAGGGGAGATGGAAGCAAACCATGTTTGCGTGTGACGAGCACCCGTCCTTAGGGTAAACGCCTGACCGACCCCATCGTCGACCATGGACGAAGCTCCCCCATCGAGCACGATTAATGGCTTCTGCCTCTAATCCCAAACAGCCTCGCGAGCTCAGTGACTCGAGCACGAGCGACGCACCAGATAGACTATCCTCAACACAAGCGTTGACTCTTAAGTAATTACTCCAACGCTTCAGAGTAACGACTTGGGGGGCTCCTGTTCTGAATTAGGCCAGAGGCTGGCCTACCGTCGGGCACGACCCAGCCCAACTCCTCGTCGAGGAGGGTCCAATGAAGGCCCAATCCATCAACTCACATTGGGAACGCTCACGCGTCTTCCCCACGGTCTCCACGTGCTCCCCAACGGGGACACCTCATCAGGCAACTATCAGCGTCCGAAAGAACATATCACTCACCTTCTGAAGATCTTGGGACAATTGAACTAGAATGAAAACCACGTGTTAGTCTTCCCTATGTCACGTAGATCCTGGCAGTTATTCGTATTGGGCCTAGGGATTCAACCCAATGCAAAATAGCAGTTAGTCCAGCGCTAGAGGCACATTATAAATACCCTCTTTCACTAGAGGGTCAGATATTCTATTCTCTACACTTTCTGTACTTGCTCTCTCTTTACTCTATTTCTTACTTTGCCATTGGAGTGTCTTGTAGGTACACCCCTCTCCTCTTCACCGTAACCGGCGAACTAAAAGCTCACGATATGTTGATGGCTGCTGATCTCATTCTGGTCCGGTAAGATCAGAGAGAAATCTTATTATTGTAATGTATGAAAGAGAGAATGCATTTACATATTTGAATAAAGCTTTAGTTTAAAATGTAGAGAAAAACTATGCATAAATATTCATCATCTTTTTTTCTTCTTAAAAGCCTTAAGTTCCTTTCATCCTCAATTTATTTTTTCTTCTTTCAATTATCACTTATGCGTGAAATTATTCATTGATTTTGGTGAATTTCAAAAAAATAAAAATAAACATCTTCCCATTAGTATATTATTATGTTTAGTTACAACATTTAAACTGTATTTAGAACCAAAGATAATAGTTCAACAATTATAAGAGAAAACACAGAAACTAAGGAAAAAATCAATCATTGATCTAAAACAAAAGTGGAAAGAAAAGCAAAAGAAATGCGTCCCACAAAAATGATTTTTTTCTCCAAAATAGAAACAAAGCCTGCAAAATTCTACAACCGAATTGACCTAGACATCCATTAACTTACAATTTAGAATATATTATCCTTCACCTGCCAAATGGCATCAAATTCTAACAAAATAGAAAAAACAAATAAACTAAAGTTTGGTTGCATATCGATACAAAAATAAAACTAATTTAAAATTAATACGAAAACTATTTCTTAAATAAAAAATTAATATTTGTCCACATAAAAAAATATTAATTATTAAAAAAAAAAGTTTCGCACCACGACCAAGAAGCGTTACGCGTTATTGTGTTAGAGAGGTGAGAGTCTGAATGAGTAACTAACTACAAATAAATTCAGAATCCCGCAATGCCATTATCTCAGATTCCTCTCCATTTCAATTCAATTAAATTCTCTTCCCGTTTCTTCAAACCTCTCTCATCTTCTTCTCCAATCTCGAGTTTCTCTTTCTCTGTCGGTGGAAATGGCGACGAATATCGGCATAATGGACAGTGCTTATTTTGTCGGCAGGAACGAGATTCTGAGTTGGATCAACAATAGACTCCAGCTCAATCTCTCACGCATTGAGGAGGTAACCAAACCCTGACCCTACCTTGTAATGTACTTGTGTGTACTGTTGTTCTGATTTTGTTTATGATTTTGTATATAGGCTGCATCTGGCGCTGTGCAGTGCCAGATGATGGATGTTACGCATCAAGGTGTTGTTCCGATGCATAAGGTGGAGACATTGCTATGCTTTAGCTTTCTTTTTGTGCTTTTTTTATGGTTTTTATTTCTACAATGTAGATTTTATTATAGGTTAACTTTGATGCAAAGACGGAGTATGATAAGATCCAGAATTACAAAGTTCTGCAGGAGGTTTTCAACAAGCTGAAAATTGAGAAGGTAACTGTGTTTCTTTTCATGATTATCCCCAAAGTTTTAATAGCGGTTGTGACAGTGGTTTGAGGCTGCAATTAGTATCTGTAATCTATATTTCATTAATTCAGAGAAGGGAAGTTTTAGTCTGTAATCTGGTTTTATTTCAAATCCCAATTTGATTGTTGGATAAGTTTAATGCTGTATTGTGGCTTTTTTCTTAATGGTAAATCTACTTTAGATAAGTTCACTTGAGATTAAAACTTGTAGAAGAATCTGCAACTAATAGTTTCTGCGTAAAGATAGTGGGGATTGGCTTAACATGACTATCATTTTGCAGCATATTGAAGTTAGCAGGCTTGTTAAAGGCAGGCCTTTGGACAACTTGGAGTTCCTCCAGTGGCTGAAACGTTACTGTGATTCTGTGAATGGGGGCATTATGAATGAGTATGCTACTTGCTTTGAGTATCTTTGCATTAACCCAATTATAAACTTGACTAATATCTAATTGTAGTATTTCTTCTATGATGATACTTGTCCACATGCATACATTTTCAATTAATTACAAATGCAATATCATGCCATGCAATCATATTTCTCATTGTATTGTGTAGTTTATGTTGTCACAATGTTGTCGATGGCAGATGGCAGCCCATGGAGAGCCAAAATCCTGCCATACCGGCCACTTTGAGGCACCATTATAGTGGATTATGGCGGAAAACCCCCCGATATTTACCGTTGTGGCTAACCCAAAAACCGCCATGTATATCCGCCATAGTGGCCATGGCGCCGCTATTTGATAACATTATTGTCAAATATGTTCAATTCAATTTTATTTATTTCGTTATTTTCTAGGAACTATAATCCTGTGGAGAGAAGAAATAAGGTCGGAAAGGACCGAAATCTGAAATGTTCTATGAAGAAATCAAAATCCATGCAAACTAATATTATAAATAACTCAGGCTCAGGCAACACACTTGGTCCTAATAGAACCTCTGGTTAGTGATTTGGATTCCAAGGTGTTCAGCATTTTGTCTCATGGTTTTACAGTGTGAATCTTTTCCCTTTCCCTTTCTCATCTCTTTTTTCTTTTTATCTTCAGGTGGGGCCAATTCTTCAGCAGAGATTCAGTCTTTGTCCAAAGAGGTATGAACATTAGGTTACATGTGCTTATAACATTTTTTGAAATTGCATACATAACCTAAGAAGTACATGATGTGTTACCAAATGGTGCAAATTCTGTATCCATTTATTTGTTTGCAATTCTATACCAAGTCATTTTATTCATGGATGTAAACTTTGTTGATTTTCCTGATGCTCCCTATGGTATTCAATATGTCTGTGCTCTCACATTCTCAGTCATCTGACAAATTGCTTTTTCTTTTATAGGTATTGCCATTGAAAGTTTACCACTTGGTAAACTTATGGTTTTTTTTTACCCGATTGTGTTTCAGTTAGTCATTTCTTTACACTTCTGTTCCTGTTTCACAGATTACTGGTCTCAAATTAGCAGTGGAAGTCCTTGAAAAGGAGAGAGACTTTTACTTTGCAAAACTACGGGATATAGAAATTATTTGTCAGACTCCAGAAGTGGAGAATATCTGTGTAAGAAATCTAATTAAGGCGTGCAATGAAGTTCTAAGTTATATATGTGTGTGCATGCATTTGTTATCCTGTCGAACATGGGTGTTATTCAGTGTAATGCAATCTGTTTCTGATCAATTAGCAGATAATAAGTTTTCTTATATCTTAATTAGCCAACAACCAATATCACTGATGTTTTTGCCCAAAAAGTTAATGCTTTTGGCATTGACATAGATATGTTTAAGTGGATGGAATGGGGAATGAAAAGACATAATAATGTCATTAGATCTAATAGTTGCAATTAGTGGGAAAAGGCTTTGGTGACTGTTGTTATCTGAGCCAACTTGTTTATTCTGCTTCTTTTTAAACATCACAAGAATTGTAACTCCTGCTACATTTGTCAAACACTATCAAAATGTATTAGTGTTTGAAACTGCTTACTGTTATATTTACAATTAAACCCTTTCCTAAACATGGGTTGGTTACCCAAAATACCCTCGGACCACGGTGAGTCCTAGAGTATCTGCACATTAGTGTTTGTAAAAAGTTAACTGAACTTTTTTTCTAAGAATAAATTTTTTTGCTAAGAACAAAAATAGAGTAAATGTAATCAATTGTTACATGTTCTCTATGCAGATCACTGTAGCAATTAAGAAGATTTTATATGCCAATGATACAAAGGAATCAGCGCTGGATGATGCTCAAGATTATCTTAACCAAACTATGAATACTGTAGAAGCTCAAGATTATCATGGTCAAATTATTGATGCTATTGAAGTTGAAGCAGAAATTGAAGCCGATTCCCAAAACTAACTCCTGACTGGATTCGAAGATATATGCAGACCTCTTTTCCAAAATTTCAATTCTGTCTTACCAGTCTGGTAGTGATCTGCACTGTCCTATGGGAATGAAAATTATCATATATTGAATTTGTTTCCTTGTAAACCTGGAGAAATAATGACATGATAGATGACTGGTCTTTCCAAAAATAGATTTCATCTAATTATCTTTTTTATCATCACTATAAAAATAATTTCTCTAATGAACATTGCTCAAGAATTTGTAGCCAAAATATATTCATTGTTTTGTTTGTATATAGTTTGAAATTAGCTGCCAAGCTTCATAACCATTTATAGTCGTGCTAGTTGTTGTGAAATGCTGCCAAGCTTCACTGTTTCTACATCTGCTTGTTCTCTTTGAAGAAACATACCTCTGTGATGAAACTTCATAACCATTTATAGTCAATTAGTCATGGTAGTTGTTGTGAAATGTGCTGCAGAATTTGCTTAGGTGGGTGAAATGTTTCTGGAACAGGATTTGCTTAGGTGGGTGAATTTGCTTAGGTGACTTGCATGGGTGAATTTATAGTCAATTAGTCATGGTAGTTGTTGTGAAATGTGCTGCAGAATTTGCTTAGGTGGGTGAAATGTTTCTGTGATGAAACTTCATAACCATTTATAGTCAATTAGTCATGCTAGTTGTTGTGAAATGTGCTGTAGAATTTGCTTAGGTGGGTGAAATGTTTCTGTGATGAAACTTCATAACCATTTATAGTCAATTAGTCATGCTAGTTGTTGTGAAATGTGCTGTAGAATTTGCTTAGGTGGGTGAAATGTTTCTGTGATGAAACTTCATAACCATTTATAGTCAATTAGTCATGCTAGTTGTTGTGAAATGTGCTGCAGAATTTGCTTAGGTGGGTGAAATGTTTCTCGAACAGGATTTGCTTAGGTGGGTGAATTTGCTTAGGTGACTTGCTTGGAATGACTTTAGGTTTAAAAGGAACAGGTTGAGTGTATAGCTGAACTTGTCCTAACTTAATGGAAGCTAAAATGGACTTCAGTAGTGGATGGTTTCAAAATATCTTTGAAAGCTCGTTGATGATAACTCATCTGAGCCCTTTTCTTTGGGTTAAGAAAAAATTACACTTTTTGATTTAGAAGTAAATTAAAGCAATTCAAAAGTACACTTTATGTTGGTCTGGACAATTCAAAAAGCAACAATCTTTGGATTAAACATTAAAATGTTTATATGTTAGTTAAATTGTAGGACCTATTCTATATTTTTAAAGTTTTATCATTAGAGTGAAAAGTGAATAAATTAAACATTAAAATGTTTATACGTTAGTTAAATTGTAGGACCTATTCTAAATTCTTAAAGTTTTATCATTAGAGTAAAAAGTGAATAAGTTCTTTAAAGTGATAGGTAAGGTGGGACCACGTAAACAATTTTATAAATTTGTAATATGTTGTAGTTGTACAATTGAAGATGCTCTTTTATGTGTTATTTAGATAGATGGTAATTAATCTGAGCCTTTTATTATTTTGCATTAAATGTAATAATGGTATAGGAGTATTTATTATGGTTCTCTGTAGACCATATATATAATGAGTAGTCCACAGATGCCACCAGACTCCTGAGACAATAATTGACAAAGTTAGCTTGGTGTAATGTAAGGACTCTATGCCATAAAGCCCCACCACCCATACATCCTTGAATTTTACGTCATAACTAACTAACTGTTATTCGCACTCTACCTCATATTAACGAAAAATGATTACAATTTGTCTTATGTATGAGTGTGATCTTAAGTCATTCTCATGTATTTTTAGACACATATATGCAAAGTTAAATAATGATTTGAGCATTGAAACTTTAACCTTACTTGCGTATTCCTATTGTTCATCAGAAAGTCATAACCACCGTATCAAACGTTTTTATGCGACAATCATTTTTTTTTCCTTTCATTTATTCTTGATTTCAATCCGAAATAGTGGCACCGCCTTTAGAAAACGTCTTATGATTCTCACGATTTCTCTACTGAGTTTCTTAAGTTTACACGCTTTCAAGAACCATATTTGTTTCTTCTTGTTATCTTCTCAGATGTTGGTTCAAAAGTAGTTTGTACTTGTAATACAACCAATAAGCAACGATGCAAAAAGTGTTGTGAAGAAGAAGAAAACTAAAGACACAAGGGACCAAATTTAGGTTGTTAGAGTACACTTTGTTAAACACATCAAGGAAGATATTCTTGGAAGAATGCGCTAACACTAAGTTCAGAAAAGTCAGGGTGAAATATCCCTATGTTGTAAATAAGTTAGCACAAGTTGATACTACAAAGTACTACATATTCCATAAATTCCATAAGCATGATCACCCATGCATCGAAACAATTTAAGTATTTGATCGTAACGGTGGACTATTTTACTAAGTGGATCGAGGTGGAGACACTGACAAATATCACAGCAGGGAACATCTTGAAGTTTTTCAAGAGAAACATACTAGTTAGGTTTGGGGTCCCCCAAGCCATTGTAACAGATAATGGAACATGGTTCATAGATAAAAGGTTAAAAAGTTTGTTGGAGGAGCTAAAGATCAAGCAACACTTTGCCTAAGTGGAACACTCTCAAACAAATGGTCAAGACGAAGCAGTCAATCAGGTGCTAGTTAGAGGCCAAAAACAAATACTAGAGGAGACCAAGGGTAACCGAAACGAAGAATTGGGGCACGTGTTATGGGTTTATCGTACCACTCCCCAATCAACCATTTAAGAAACCCTTTTTCAACTCACGTAAAATGTAGAAGCGGTCATTCTAGGGAAAATTGAAAAGCTGAGTTGGAGGACAACTAACCTTTTACAAGTAGAAGGTAATGACAGGGCCATTAAAGAAAAGATTTGCCTTTTAGAAGAAAAAATGATGATATCTGCCTTCACCAGCGCCATGGTCAAGCAAAACATGATCTCTAGGTATATCCATCACGTCCTACCAAGAGAATTTTAGATAGGGGACTTGGTGATGCGGAGAGCCGACATATGAGGATAAATTCTTAAGAAGGCAAGCTAGCAACAAATTGGGAAGGACCCTACCGAGTGCGGACCAGCACCAGAAAATAAGTGTACATCTTGAACTCCCTCGAAGGAGAACAGATACCAAGGAAGGACTTGGAACTTCGTTAGAATAAAACAGTATTACAATTGAAATATCTATTTCTTTGCTCATCCACATTTTCAATGTAACAAATTGATATAACTATGAATGCAAATACATGTCTTTCATTTTTCCTCTCTTGCTCGCTTTTCTATCCTTCTCTCTTTTAGGATACTAAAGGAAAAAAAGATAATGATTACTGAAATTCTGGTATGCAGATCTCATATGTCCCAAGAACATTGATCTCTGCTGAAACAAGGACGATGACAGATCATGACCAATTTAAATTTCTTTAAATTGTACCAATGTCATGACGTCTGTTGTAACATCTGCAGACTGACATAACTATTTATCTAATCATTTAAATTGTGCAGAATTGTAAATGCAGAAAGATAAATAACACCAGTAATTGTTTACCCAGTTCGGTGCAACCTCACCTACATCTGGGGGCTACCAAGCCAGGGAGGAAATTCACTATTAGTAGAATTAATTCAGAGTCAAACAATCCAGTTTGCACTCCTCACTTAAAACCTACCCAATGACACTTCTGCCTAGAGACACTCGAGACCTGAGTATACCCACTCACTCCCCCTCAATCACCTCAGTGATATCAACACACAATTACAGAACAGTTATGGAGATACACTCCAAAAACACACCTTGATCTTGCTTCACAACTTTGATCAAGTGACACACACTCTTTCTTAACAGCTTTGAGTGACACAACAACTTAGAACCTACCTAACCAATGCAGCATACAGTTGCTTGGTGTACAAGTATTCCTAAGACACACGCGAAGAACCAAACTTCTTCACTCACAAATATGTCTACCACAATGTATCAAACGATACAAAGGGTGACTTACACACACAAAGGACTCTCAAACCCTAGACCTTTATTTTACACTCAAGTTGTTCTTGATGTGAGTGCTTTATTTCCTCTGCTTCTGCTCCTCCTTAAATAGTAGTGTAGACTGGGCTTGGGCTGGTCACAAGTAACAAACTATAGGTTAAACCAAGTTAAACCACTTTCCATAATTCAAGGTGCTGTCAAATTAGGTCACAACTGCTTCATGTTATGTCCAGCTCTGACTAGAATCTCGCCTGAGACAATTAAGGAGGCATAACAGGTTTCCTGAATTCTAGCCTGAGATATATCAGGTATCATAACAGAAAACCAAACCCTACACACCTGATGTCATACGATCAATGTCATGACATTCAGTCATGACATTCAGCTTCACTTACTCTTAGCTGACCAGACTCCCCCTGCTGAACACTCCTGCAGAATCTTCTTCACAACAGTAGAAACAAGCATATTAGTTTCCTAAAAAGTCTCAAAAATCCTTTTTATGAACACCAATTAAATATGCACTTTGTTCCTAATGAATCTCTTTGGCCTGTACATACTGATGAGGAATATCCAACAGGACCAAAACACTTATGTCAAGAGATATAACATAGCATCCCCTGCTGTACCAGACATTGATGTCATGACATTCAGTATGACATCCATGACAACAGTTTTGTCATCAGCTCCTGCTGCACCAGACATCGATGTCATGACATTGGTAATGACATCCATGACAGCAGTTCTGTCATCAGCTTCTGCTAGCTCCTTCTGCATCCATGACAACAGTTCTGTCATCAGCTCCTGCTAGCTCCTGCTGCACCACAGTTCCTGCTGTTTATAACACACGACAACAGTTATGTTACCATAACTCCTGCTGTATCAGACAACGATGTCATGACATTGTGATCAAAAACACATGACAACAGTTCTGTCATGACAGCAAATGAATATGTTAAGCAGGATCATGTTTTACCAAAATTTAGCCAATCATAAAACCATGGACAATTCTATATCATAGAATCATGGAACTAA